ACGATTCACGAAGTCTGGTGAAAAATTTTTCATCGCTCTCGTTCTTTAGCCGGTCGCCATTTTTCACCCTCTTTCGAAAAGCTGGACGAGCCACGCGCGAGCGAAAAATGAAAATCAGTTTCGTCGATGCGATTCGAAAAGACGACGACCAAGAGAATGGTGTATTAACCATTAGTTTGATTGCTCCAAGGGTTAACGGGTTGATGCGACGCAAAGTGCCGCGAGCCATTGAAACAAGGGAAAAAACGCAGGAAAAGAGGAAACGCTGAAAGGGAAATCGAGAGAGGTCTCCGTCGCTTTTTTTTTCTCCCTTCATCTCTGTCGCGCGATCAGAGCTAGAAATCAATGACTTGTGGAGCTTCGAAATGGAAATTACGCGAGCCGTGAAAGGTATTAGCGACACGAGTTACGAATTGTAAAGAGACGCGAGAGCAAAGCCCGCGATGAATGCACCTGCCCCGAACGCTTCATTGTCTTCTTTCGCCTCTGATCCGAGCGTTGCGTTTATCGATAAAAGATCAAAAAGGGAACGTTATCGGCGGGCAGAGCTACCAACCGTTGGAAGTACGCTCTTCGAAGTGGCGAAACAGGTTTCTACGATTCGCTTATGAAAGTCAAGTGCACTCTTCTCGAGACGATGAAACGAGTAAATCGGTGTGTTTCATACGAATTTCTCCGTATTTCCTTGTCCTACTTTTTGCACCTACGCTTATTCTCCATGTATCCAAGTCGAATAGGTACGCGATACTCTTAACGCATTCTCGACCGGCAGATATTTTACATTTCTAATACCGAGTACTGACGAAAATACTAAAATACTTTCCCTGCGAAGACTATACTTTTACTCTTAAGTCCTGTTTGCTCCGAGTAATAAAACGCGAGAAGGTTGGCAACTGGAAAGCATCCAAGTTTATTTAGAATTAGAGCAATTTTTCATTCCGTAATTGGCGAAGATGTCGGAGATGAAGAGAAAACGAAACCGAGATCAAGGGGCTCTTCCTACTGGCTATTGTACTTTTCTACCCTCTTCGGGGTAGAAAGCGTAAGAATTCCTAAGAAATATAATTAATCAAAAACAACAAAGAAAATACACCGCAGATGATGAGAAGGAAAATAAACAATCTTCGTCAGAAGAAAACCTCTCGGAAAATAATGCCGAGAAATACGAAAGTAAAAAATATAAAAAATCCCTGACTGAATACACTGACAGTAAAAAGCGAAGAGCAATTATATCAAGGATACTTTGGTTTATCGATTATGAATACTTGCAATGTGTCCTTCGCGAACTTATTCACGGACGTGTCGGGACACAAGCCGAGAAGAAATTGATCGTTTATCGCAAGTATCGCGGTAATAAAAGCCTCACGGAGCCTTAATAAATACTTCCATCGGGTGGAAGTGAATTAAGGAATCGAATAACCGGAGTTGCCACTAGAAAACAGGTTGCGCGAAAGAGAACGCGAGAAGAAGAAGAAGCTGGGGGAAAATCGGAGAGCGGAACGAAGAAGTCCGGCGCACAGAAAGGAAACTGCGGCGGGTCGGTTCGTTAAACCTTTCCCGGGAAAGAAAAGTCGACGAGCCCTCGATACGCTGCCAGGGTCCTCTTCACGGTTGCCTCGAGTTTCCAGCTACACGCGTGCCGTCGTCCATGTGAACTCGGCGTTCGTGTGAAGCCTTTACGTGCTTTTATGCGCGACGATCTTCCCTCCCTTTTGCGCGACAGCGTCGCGGGGGAACAAAGAGAAACTACCACTGTTTTCCTTTTACGAATTTCCTTCGACGCCACGACGCGACGGGTGGCGCTTCCACACGCCGCGAATCCTAAACGAGTATCGCGAGGGCGGAGTATGGTCGACCGCAAACTGACCTGGGCAAATTTTTAATTCAATGGTACCTATATAAAAAAAGAGAAAATTTCAATTCCCAATTCGCAATTGAACAGAAATAACGTATTTGTTGTTTCGAAATGGAAATTTATTTCTCTATTTACGCTTGTGGAGAACGGGATGATTAATAATTATCGAAGCTCCAGGTTTTATTGAAAATTTATGAGAATTGTCGGCTCTTTTTTATTGATTATTTCTTTCGAAAATAAAATCGGCACACTTTTTAGTTGTCCTTTCAGGTTGTTTTTGTGTACGATAATTACAGCACGCGAAAAGAATAATTTACAACGCGTAGGTGAAGTGCCTCGCAAGGGCAGAGAATCGGCTAAACCAGAGACGCACGACTCTAATTTGCGGGAACGCGATTTTGTTCGAGCCGAAGCGATTAATTTTCTCTCTGGTAAACAGCGTATCCCTGGCAGTCGAGAGAGGCCTACATTGCAAATGCAATCGAGCGCGTAGCCGCGTCCCGAAACGCGAAACGAGCCACTCGCTAATGAAAGGACTTCATTATTCCTGCGGATAACTTTATCGATGATACTTCTCGCATCGGTATTTATCCGAGCGAGACCGTGCGCTGGACGAACGCGCAATAATAAACGATACCGTCGATAATTGTTGCGTTACAGGAATATATTTACCGCGTGCGTCCCGTCGCCACGTATATCCTCCGTGCGATCATATTTTCGACCATTATTACCGCGTCGAGTTATTGCCGTGGTATCAATAATTAATAACGAGCTCGATCCGTCGCCGCGTTTCGGGTTGGAACGAAAACGCGTCGGGATACGCCCGAGAGAGACGGGTGTATATCGCGGTTTGGGTGACAAAGAGAGGAGGGAAGAGGAAACGCGTGCAAACTTCTCGATAAACGGGCCTTCAGCTTCCCAACTCGCGATCGAACCCTTTAGCACGCTGTTTCACAAACTTCACCTTCCCACGGTTTCTCCAATAATGGAAATTTTCGGCCAATCTGTTTGGAATTCGATTATTATTTTTGTTATATGATTCAGGAGGGTTTCCAAGTGAGATACGTATATGGTTTCATTATTTTTGTATAATTTGAATTGCTGGCTCGATAGCCAACTGAAACTCCAGACTGTCCATCTTTGACTTTGGCACACTTTTGCAAGCTGCTGAAGTATTCAGGTCCCTGATGCTATGTGCATAGTATCAGGCGCGGACAGTCGATCATTTTAGAGATATAAATAATTACAGTTACGTGCCATGCAACTAGGGCTTTGCACGATGAGTATCGATCTGTTGCATTGAACTTGTCATGTCACACATGATTAAATACGCGGTTAATAAATTTTAATTCCCAGCTATAGCTATACTCGTATCGACTAAACGGCTGCCCCGTTTATTTGATTAATACTCGAACTTCCTTTATGAAAAAGTACAGCTACCCTAGAAATATGTGCGAACAAATGTTCTAAGCTTGAAAAACACGATACTATGCAATTTATTTGTTCCGGGTAAATAGAATTTATATTAACACATAGCTGAGTTTTTCATTTTTCAATGATTCCCTTCGCTCTACGCATTCGTCCGAAAAATCGATATTTCTATCTGCAGAAAAAAAATTCGCGTACCATTAAAACATGTAAAAAGAAACGAGCAAAGTTTGAACGAGCTATAGTAAACGGGGTTCGAAGGAGAAATTCCTGAAGACTCGCATCCCTTCAACCGTATACGTCTAATAATCCTGTACGCTTCCAGTTTCCACGCGTTCTTCGTTCTTTGGTTGCTTCTACGGATTCGCCCTACGCACAAAACGCGAAATTCCCCAGGAGAAACAAAAACGAACGACCCACTAGCAAATGACGAAACTGGAGCTCGACAATGGCGGCCACGAACGAGTGGAATGTCGTCGATCGCACGAGAATCGGGGTCCGATCGAACCAGCGAATCGCCCTCCAGTCACGGTGAGACCTTAATCGAATTCCCGGTGCTGTTGAGGGAAGTTGCTCCAAGTCAGGGAACTTCCGCGTCGAAGACAATGCGCGATCCTGCGCGTCAAAGGACAAGAAGCACGAGGTCGGATTACGAGCACTACTGGGTGCCAGGCGAAATGAAGTTTTCAATTCGCGAGATAACGAGAAGCTCCCGCAGCCTGGAATCTTCAAACGCATTACTTCGGCTCATTATTTCGAGATCTCTCGACAATTTCGTTTCCGTCGGGGTTCGCGACCGATAATTGTGACCGAAACCTTAACTCAGGAAGAACCTCGACAGGGCGATGAAGTGAAGAAGAAGTCAAGGTGAACAGTCTTCACTGGCATTGACTTTGCGTGTAAAGAGTTAAAGTTTTTTTCGTTGAAAACGAGGTGTCTTTAATTTTGATTAAGAAACCGATTTACAGACCACGGTGGAGTGCAAACCAACTCGGGTGCATGGAGTCGTCACTCCCCAACGGCTCCAGCTCCCGCCGGGGCCGCCCTGCGCGCTCTAGGAGTACGGGAATCCAGGTACAAGCGGGTTAGTGTCTCCTGTACATTATGTAATACCTGGGGAGTACACGTCAGCCCTTCTTCCCGCGGGCCAAGTCGCCAAGTCGCCAAGTCGGACAGCGTCGCTGGGAAAACGGAATCGCGCGTGAATCAACCGATTATCGCGTTACGGATTCAGGTCTATTCCCACTTCGTAAAATACGAGATTCTTGCATGAATCACTTTATTTTTTTATCCGAATAGGGTTACGCTAAAAAAAAATATTACACCAAAGTTAACATTATTTCCGAAATACGGCTGCTAACGTTATTTCTGGTCAGGCTGTAAATATATCTCTGTGTTCGAATACGCGAGCGCGACATGCGATTCCGATTCCGTCGATTTATTACGTATGCACGCGCAGCCTGCGAAAAACTGCAGCGGTCGCCTGGAGCGAATCTCCGCCCCAGATACCACCGAGCGTGGTAAATAAAAGCGAGAAAATAGCGAAGAATCGGGTGGCCCCGCGATACCAGCGGACGACTTCGCGCGTCTCGTTTCAACGAGAAATTACGCTTGCCGTTTTTTAAAAGGGCCACCGTTTTGCGCGTCTTTCTCTTCGAGGACGAACGAGCCAGGTCTCGAGGAAAAATAGCTCAACGCGAAAGGGAAGGAGACTCACCAGATTTTTCGTCGACGGTGGCAGAGATCCCAGCGACGTACGAAACAGCCTTCGTTAGTCCAACGAACGACCACAGTACACTCCACATGTTCTCTCGTTATTCCACGCTACTTTGATCACGAAACACTGATCACTTATCGGACTGATCTCCTCAGTCGACTAGCTGAGCGAGAATTAAGTCATTATCGCGGGATCGTGGTTCACTCGCGATCTGTCGCAAGTTCGAGCAGGGTTCTGGCTTGCTATAGAATAGAATTTTAGTGGTGTTTTGGTTGAATGTAAATTTTGAACTTCTAGTGTAGTACAGGGTTGTATCATCCAAATAAATTTACTAACGATATAGGAGCCCTCTTTAGTAAATCAATTATTATATGTTAATCTCTTATCTAGTAAAGTCGTTCACCATCGTCACGTAATTTTATCTCCGGAATCTATAACCACAGTCTTGCGAAAGTGACTCGAGTTTCGAAGGTTTTCCTATAAACTACCCCCTGTAACGCTAGAAGAAAAGAATTTACATTATCCTAGTCCTTTACTCGGCCTTTTATCTGGATCAAGGTAAAGTGCATCCATCGGAGACTTTAAAGCCTTAAAAGCCGTTTTCTTAGAAACGATTTTACTTGATCTAGTGTCGCTAAAATCTCGAGAACACGGTTCACTCGAAATTTTACAAGCCGGAAGCCTGCCAGGATCTCACCTTCCCGCGTCACGAACGATCATCGCCGATCCCGTGGAGTTCGGCATCGGCATCATCGAGAATCCCTCTTCGTTTCGCTAAAAGCCGCCACTCGTCGTCGATGAATTGGTGATTTTTTCCTTCCGCGGCCACTCGAACGGCGTTCGATGCATGCAACCGATTTCGCGCGTTAAAACGTACCCGTCCGTGCTCCAGAAGATCGCTCGTCTCCTCTGTCCCCCCTGCGAGCCACTCGTGTTTTTCCTCTCTACTTAAACACTAATTAAAGCTGCCGCGGTACCGCATCCACCACCACGCGCCGCAACCCCCGCGCGTCTCGCTTCTTCTTTTTTCCTCCTGCCTTTCATCCACTCTACGCCCGTTATTAAAGCGTCGGACACGCGTAGTAGCCTCAGCGCCGCTAGAAAATCTGCCGCACTTTCGATCTAACCGCGCGCCGCTGCCGCCAATAACCTGCAACGACGAGCATGATACCCGCAATCACCGGTGACCATGGTATGTCCACCGAGGCCGCAGAGTTCACCGCACCAACGGCCACCGTCGTTCAGAAAATAACTCGATCCCTGCGACCAGGCTATGACCTGGTCAACGTCCTCTTCGCCGTTGCGAACAGTTACTCCAGGAATCCCTCTACGTCGTGGTTTTCGGGCAGTTCTTGGACCGGGGCTGCCGAGTTTTGGGAGCAGAGGAGAAGAAAGCCTAGGAGATCCGTTAAACTTGAATCCTGAGCGATCGAAGGTGGAGTGCTCTGGTCCAAGCCTCGACCTACCTCAGAGTCTTTGGATCTCGAGGGTAGTTACAGCTTTCGGGTGGTCTGTGGTTCGACTAGGCTCGCGAATCCGTCAGAGTATGAAAGAAGATTGCCCGAAGATTCAAGTCGGGAGTATTCGAGTCCTCGGTTTTTATCAGAGTTCAAGCTGGTTCCTTGGGTATTTCGAGTAGTCCAGAAATCCTTCCTGACTGGATTTCAGGTAGGCTGTTCCATTGGACTTCCTATGCTATCGAGGGTGCAAAAGTCTTCGAGTTCTCGAGTCTCGTCAACGTCTCTCGATTTTAATACTTGAAGTTTCAATCCTGCTCACTCAAATGTCCAAAAGTATTCAAGTCCTACCCCTAGTTCCTCCCCAACTTCCCACGAGGGAGGCTGGCGAACGGAGCAACACTGATCAGCAACAACTTCTAGCGTTAAGTTCCCTCTGGAGTTCCGACAGAAAAGTTTCCAGAAACCGTCGAAATAACCGCGATTAATCTACGCGCCGCGACGCGGTGGTGCGTCAACCATCCGGCCGACGAGGCCCCGCCGAAAAAGCACTGCGGAGATCTTCGATCGCGTCAGCTCGCCACAGATTTTCGATTCCCCTGGAATGGGTCCAAACGAAACGAGGAGAACAGGGATATGCCTGTAATCGCGTTTGGCTCGCCAATGGCCGCGGACGCTGTGAAATCGATTCGAGGGAAGATTCGAGAAACGCGACACCGTCACTGGATCATCCACGCGTCGATCTCGCACGCGGAAGTGGAGGACTGCTCGCCAGGACTCGACGCTTGGCTTCGCGCGCTTTTCTGCAAGGATCCCTCTCCAATCTCTCTGTCACCCCTCGTGCTACCCTCGTAAACTCTCACATGTACGTAAATTCCACCGATGCAAAAGTTTTTTTTTTTTATCTTTATCAAATTTAATTAGTCGGTGTAGGATTCGCTATTTTCCTGTGGGAGTGTCCTGCGAGTATTTGTCACGTGGGCGAAAAGTCAACTCTAACGTGGAACAAAACAGAAGACACGCGCGACGGTGTGACGACTACAAGTGATGTTAGCCGGTTGTTCGTTCTTTCTTTTTTTTTTTTTTTTTAAATCACTTGGCGATCACTCGGGGGTGCACAAATCGCGCGACGAGCAGCCTGACGGCCCGGGTCGACGCGACGCATAAACACGTGGTCCTCGACCGACGGCGGACGGCACACTGACGGAGAAGACGAGCAAACGGCGCGGCGACGGACGCGCAGCCTGCAAAGCCTCCCTAGGAGGTGGCGGTGTCGGAGGAAAAGCTGTGAGTGGGGTGAAAGGGGTGGAAGAGGCTCGACGTTGTACGCCGTGCACCCCCCGATACTGGACCAGAAAGGGATGTTTGTCCTACGCGAAAGGACGCGCTGTTCGAATAATACTCGGCGCTGGTAAACACCACCGAAACGGATGCGTAACGGAACGCACATGCGTTCTACCCTGTTCGATAATTCGAGTCGAGCCCGCAGTCCCATGAAATTTAATGCAACCCCTGCGATTCCGATAGAGATTTTTACTCTCGATCGTCGAGTTTGAGGTTCGTTTAACAAAAGTTATTTGTATTATTCTTATGGTCGTCCCATAGAGTGAAACAGGTTACTGGCCTCGAAAAAATTTAACACATGTTCTTGCGGTTCGTTCCCACATAGCTGGTTGCAACTGGCTTGAATCATGAACGAGTCTCTCGAAAGCTAAACCGATCGTTTCATAAAATAAAAGATATAGAAAAGAGGAACGCTAATGAAATTTAAAAGACTCCCGAAACACACCGAATTCACGTCTGCTGGGAAAACAATATTTTTAAAACGTTGGGAAGATAGTAACTATTTTTACCCGACCACTACTGTAGACAAATCTAGCGACAAATTAACACCCGTCAAATACCAAGATAAACTACCACGATTTGTGGACTGGATCGTTATCGGGCTCGCGATCGGTCTTTAAAAGAGAGAACAGAGCGTGCAAATTATAGCGATTACGACGTCAAATTAAATATTTCTTTCTCGATTGCTCGGTTCCGATTACGCTGTACGATGGAAAAGATTCGAGAAACGAGTTCGATTTATTCATGTGCCCCGTATTCCTGGGCGGTATGGTAACGATTGCAAGAATAACGGCAAACAGCTGAGCATACGTCTGCGCAGACGTCTATCTCAGAAAACAATCGCGATAGCTGCTTTGTACACGAAAGCTACAGCTATAGGTTTGCGCAGGTTCGCCGTGTGTTACCGTTCCGAGTAGAATATTTTTCCCATTCGAGTGTTTTCGCCGCGAACAAATATTCAGAAAAATATTTCTCGCGAGACCAATCCCGCGCGCCCACGATAATAACATTCAGAGTTTCTCTATTGTCATAGTGTAAGAGAAACTCGATAGATACACTGGCAATAGAGGTTAAAGAATACGTATAGTTCTACAGTGGAGAAAGGCAATGGGTACGCGGTTGGTAAGACAACCTCCTCCTCCAGGAAGAGTGAGTAACTAAACTAAACGGAAATTTGAATACATAACAGAACTCAAGCCAAACATAATTTAGGTTACAGCGAGTTAACTCAAACATTTTCAGCGATTCGCTGGACAATCATTGAATTGAACGTTTGGTTTGCAACCCACTTTAAGATACATAAATAAATAAATTCGATGCATCATGTAAAATACGTCGTCGAGTGAAGAATCGCCGTCGATGTACGCTCGAAGCTTGTGTGTGCAATATTACTAGCGGAAATTGGTCCTGGGACGTTCCGAGGAAGGAAAATAAAGGGTCGACGAGGGTAGGTTTACTCGACCCGACGGCGACTACAGCGCGGCCCGATTCGACTAGAGCCTTTGATAGTCGCGTTTAGGTACTTGCGCGTACTCGGTCGTCCGTGGACGAGTGCTTGCTTTCTGTTCGGTGTCGAAGACGGTTTATAGTGGTTTAAGAGGGCCAGAAGGAGGTTGGCGCGGAAGGGATGAAAACGACGGAGGAACGAGGGTGGGTCGGTGGCGAGACGAAGCGGGGCGAAAAAGATCGAAATAGGGTGAGAGACCTCCGGGCGAAAGAGGCGGATGAGGAAGCAGATGCTCTCCGACTCTGGTGTCACGGATCATGGTCATCTTAAAAGCTCCTGAAAGGCAGGAATGCCACTCGCGCTTTCTGAAAGCTATCTTTTCGACGAGGGAATGGCTTACTCGGGGGCTGCGCACACGTGTGTTGTCCGCCGCGATTGCGTCTGTATGTGTAAAAACGCGGGAAGGGTTTTGCCTCGATCGTGGAAGAACCCACGTCTAACAAATTAATGTGACAACGGAGTGCTACAAAAAATTAACAGAGTCGAATGCGTTGCGGCGCTTAAAAATTGCAGAAGGTAGCCGTCCCTTTACCATAACAAAATTTCAGATGGTGGAAAATGGATATCTACGGAAGAGGCGTGCGTTAATTGCTTCTTTGCACTCTGTCCCTTTGGATGTGCAGTGGAAGAACCACTATCCTCTTTTCGGTGTAATGATTTTATTCGTTACGAGGGTAGAGCAAGCTCGATAAAGGAACCGACGACGACAAAGGACTAATCATCGAATCCCAACCCTTTGAACCCGTACGTAAATGTACCCACGCTCGGTCGCCATCTGGACATCCGTTTTACTCGAACGTAGATTCTCAGTCTCGGAATTAAATCTGTATCATGGTATTGCATCCCTTCTATCCGCTGATGTCGAACGCGATAAAGAATGGATCATTCTTGCCCTTCCTCCTTTCCAATTTACCTCGTCCGGTGCACTTTCCACGATGATCGCCCTTATCGAAACAAGTATCGTTCCTTGAATCGAGAAAGGAATAAGAACAAACACTGAGTAAAAGTTCTAGGGGAAATTTAATAGTATTTGTTTGCGAAGTTTTTGGATCAAACCAGAGGATCTGTTTTGTTCTACCTCTTGTAAACAGTAAAAATAGGCAAACAGCGAAAAACTAGGCACGTGGAAAATCTACAAGTTTCATGTAATTTCTGCGATACCGGTGTATGATCCGAGAATTTATATGAATTTTACCGTACCTGTGTGTATGATTTAGTGGGAGGTAGAATGGATCTTCGCGTTCTGTTATCTGTATCGTCGGAGCGGTTCGAGCGACGCGGCGACTCAATTTTCCCAATCTTCCACGCGTGGCAGTAGTTACTTGCTCGCCGAGTTCTCTACGTTATCGGCGTTTCTACCTTGTGATAGAAAAAGTCTCCACTTCAGAAGGAAATACTTTGCATTGCACAGATAATGAGTAACACCATTAGTACAAAAGATGATATTACTAGGTTTCATTCTGGATGTTTTATTGTGGCTTGTCTCTTCTGGTATTGTTTTAGGTGTTTATCAGGAAGGCTCTGGAATTCACTACTGCTGAGACAATGGGTTGAATACCTCTAAAACGGAAAATAAATATTGAATATTGCAGTGGAGGTATTAGAGAGTAACCATGAATGTTATCAGATCTTCGAGAAGCCTCTATCTAAAACAACATCTCATTTCATTTCAATTTGTAAATTGCACCTGCTGGTGCAAGGTTCAACTGACCTGCTGGTAGGTCAAAAATTCTGCATTCTATAAAAGGTTTTTATTGTTAATTACAATCACGCGTACGCACTATATACTCATTAAGCTCGACGATAAACAAGACTACGTGAAACTCGTTCTATTCGCGGGAAAAACGGTCTCCGAAAGCGAACACTCTCTCTTCCACGTCGTCCATCTTATTGTACAGAAGTTTCGTATGTAGAGGCACAACTTCGCGGCTTCTGGAATCCACGGAGGTAGCTCTCCCAGTAAAAACGGGCAACTCCTTTCACTTGACGATCTTCGCCGGGACTTCGAAACAAGCGACCGTGTGGTTTCCGTCCATCAACGCGTAGTGGATCACCATGGAGATCTGCGGAAAGATCTCACGGTATTATCAATGTCACGGTCATACAACGGAGCTGAGCAAGCGTGTTTACGTTTAACACTGTCTAAGCACGTTCTTTCTAAAAAAAATTGACTAGTTCTTAGTACGTGTTGCGAAATCGTTGCAGACTTACTAGACATGCGCGATAACGCGAGAGATCCACGCTCGTGCCGAGACTTACGACATTCTTAGACCGATCTGGTCGCTACGATAAACTCTTGTTTATTTACTATACGTAATCTATCGAAATTGGACTGATAAATGAGCTAAATGGAATATTTAAAATACAAGGAAACTATGTTTCTACGGCTCAATACAACCACAAATTACACAGCTCGGTAGTAATTTACTTTCACTTGCGTTATGACCTATAAAGTAAAAGTTCACGACCATTAAATTGCGCACTTTGGCTAATCTATACGATAACGTGACTGCTCTACAGTAGTACATTAAGTGCATTTCATCGATACGTTTTTTGCAATCCTAAGCAACTTGCTTTCGAAACTTATTTGAGCATGCACTGCCTTTTTAACTCTCTACTGTAGTTTTCTTTATTTTGGTAATTTACTTATTCACCTACACAGTGCTGCGGTATATATGAATAAATACTTATGAACGAAGGAAATTAACGTGTTTACATCGTTCCCTCAAGGCCAATCGATACTTTCAAGACCGTCTCGAACCAGACTCGACCAGATTCGAGCGTGCAGCCTCGAGTACTCACCGTAGGATAGATTTGTAAGACGTCGAAGTCTCGTTTGTAGATATACTCCTGGCCCTTCTTCAGCGAGCATCCCGCAGGGGTGCCATCCAGATTGCTGATGCTCGAGCATGCACTGGTCCCATCCACGCCAACGAACGGTAACGGTACGCCCAGAACTATTGCGCTTACCGCGTGTACCACGTTCTCAATATCTTTGTCAGCCACAAACTTCTGCTCGATCGTTTGCGTCGTTCTGCGCTTCAGCTTGCATGGTTGCTCGTCGCAATTGGTTATCCTAATCTGATTCCCATCCGCGAACTTCTCAGCTGCAAATTTTCGGGTTCGAATTAGAATAGTAAGCAGTATGTAGTCCATTTTATTCGAAATCGTGTCTGCGAATTACGGTCATTGAACTGGCTTTGGAACTAGACCACTCTATCGGGCTTATCGTAGACACCAATGAGTGTTTTGCAATTTATCACAAGAATACGAGGTAGCCGCGTTTGCCCTCTTTTTACAGTTGAAAGATTGCACACCGAATGAATATGTAAAATATGAACGAAAACGAGAAATCAATTGCTTTTAGCTCGAGTGAGAAGTACGATATTTCCAAAAGATAAAGAATGTAAATTCATTTTGAATTTTAATTAAGTACCGAATGCTGCAAGATCAGCAACCGTGTTACTTTATCTTTCTTTGGACATTACCTCGAGCCCGACAAAGAGTAACCACTGATGTACATCACTCCGTCGTCGCGACACCGCGCGCCGTCTGGATCTCGGACGAATGTCATCGCGGTTCGAGGGAACTTGGTAACTCGCGCGAGTGACTCGTTTATTCGCGATACCGACTCGCGAACTTTCTCATCGGTCTACCGTAAACAGTGTCTATTTTTTAACCAAACCGATAAATGATAAAAAAGCTCTACATAGATGTTACATAAATGTACACAACGGAGGGGATTACTTCGCGAGATTAAACGGAGAAAATTCGATACTTGAGTGAGTAAACACCAAAAAAAAAAAAAAAAAAAAAAAAAAACTTTCAACGAAACGAGCACACCGATGGTCGAAATTTCCACGATAAGTAAGACCCAAAAACCACTTGTACCCACCACTTCCGCACTTGTTGACTTGGGTAGCGTAGGCCAACGCCAACAGAGTCGCGAAAACGAGTATCGTTTCCCTCAGCATCGTTATCGGTGAAAGTGTGTCGCGGTGGGAGTGCTCGAAGATGAGTCTCTGGGCAATGGGTCCCTCGGTCGTTCTCGCTCGCTCCAATCAGGTCCAAGTCCGACTAACGACTGCGAACTGCTGGCGCGATGCAACGTTATGCCTGGATCATTCGTCAAAGTTCACTTTAAATAGATTCCTCCCTCCCCGTTGGACCGATGGCTACCCGCTGGAGAGGGAGAAAAGTCACGCGTGGAAGGGATTCTGTAAATTCGTGAAACATCGGTTGGGTGAAATTCTTCCGTGGATATACAAATCTCCCACAATGGAACAAAAGAGTTTCCATAGAAATGTACTTATTACAAGGGATCCATTCTTGGCTGGAGTTACTACGATTTTTATTTATTGGCTCACTTCTGTATACGTAAATAGTACGAATATTCATCGAGCAAAAATTATATCCGCAACTCTCATACTATTCAAATAATAAACGTACAGCCAATAAAATCTACCAGTCCAATAAAAGTTTGACCATGGACCGGGACAAAAAGACCTCCGGAGTCTGGATCACGTGCGCTGGATGGATCCGTGCGATCCAGTCACGTTCGCGAGGAATCGTCGGGACGTCGATCGCTTTTGGCGTAGGTCGTAAACGGAGCAAGGACCGTCCAAGAAAAGGAAAAGAATTTTCTGAAGCGATCTCGAGCGCAGTTGCATCGGGGCCCACGAAGACGCGCGAACAATGCGTTCCCGTCGAGCACGTTTCCCAGAATATCGACTTCTCTATGCCATGCGGCGATAGAAAATCGCAAAAATCTACCCGACATCCTCGTCTCAGCTATTTCGAATGAATTCACATGTTTGCATAAGTCTCGACAGGCTGGGTACCGCAAATACATATGTCCATTTTAAAATGTCGATTGGGAAACGCAGAATAAATACCACTTTCGTATCAAGGTTAGATTAATAACAGGTATCCCACGTTTTGTACGTAATGTATACTTGCTTTTTATGAAACTTATGTATCTTGGGCCAATAATATTACAGTGTTCTGTAGTTTTTAAATGAACGTTGCACCGTATGTACATCATAATCAGAGTCGGTTGTCTATGAAATGACCATCAGAATGAATAGTCAATATTCCTTCAGGGTCTTCCGTAATCGTAACTAAACTGACCTCGTTTTCTCGCGTTCTATTTGCTCGCCTCTTCTTCCAGACTTCGAACACGAACGAGTACATAAACGGAGACAAAGAAAGCCCAAAGCCCCGCATGCTGAAAACGATATCTCTGGATCATGTCCCAGACGTGTTTAGAAGGACGACACGGCTGTAATTGACCCACGTACTTTACTGCAATGAACCCGCCTAATCTGTGCGTGACTTCTCCCAATCAGTCGCAAACACTGCGTCACCCACGCCTGTAAACACTGTATCATCCGTGTTCTAGAAACCGTCCGCCATGGTGGCTTCCGTGTCCTCCGTGAAACTTCCAAAATCTTGTCCTATCTATCACTCCCCTCTGCTATTTCCGAAATACTTCCAGGCTATTGTTTATGTTTCCTTGAGACTCCTTTGTCACACATTGCAGCATATGGATGATACATTTGCTCCAATTTAACGTAAAATTTGAAACGCTCGCTTTTCGTCTCTGAGCAAATCACAATTGTTTCCCAAGAAATACTAAAGTTTTTTGTTATATTAGATCAACCTCTGCGTCTCCAAGCAAACCAGCGGTTTCCAAGAAACGCAGGCTATTAAAATCGTCACGCCACGTTTCTACGTTGCGCAATCCCACCCGTTGCATTATCATCTACATATATGGGCACTTGAATTTCTTTCCTTTCTCATCTCCTCGTTTTAACTCGCGCGGACTGGCATAACCAAACGGAAATCAAACGGACGACCACCGTGGTCGCAAGAAACAAAGCGCCGGAAATTAACAACACTATCTCCTCTAGCCCTCCTGCAAATGAAATTTTTTGTTTCCACTTACGGGGATGACCTCCGATTAATGCTCGCAAACACGACGCGGTCGGAAGTTGCAATCCCATCGGCTCCTACCACCGATTTCAGCGTCCTTTCGTTCTTTGACTCTCTACAGCTACTCGTTTGGCCAATCCAAAACGAGTTTCGTCGAGGTTTTTTAGGGTGACCATCTCTGGATCGGTGGAGAGGGAGTACGCAACGCGTTCTTTGCAAAAAGATGAGGATTTCAACAAAGCTGTAGCTTCAACAAAACGTATATAGTGAACGAGTATCTCACCCTGTTTAGAACTTGAGTTATTAATTTTTTATTCTTCATAAGTATACAACATCGAGCAGAAAGGAACGTACAGATTCCATAAATATACTCGTTGAAGAGTACGTTTGGTAATCTCATACATCGTAAAGCCTACGTCGACGGAAAATACAATATAAATATACACGCGGTCGACCTTCGTTCCGCTATGCCCCTGTCCAAAACCGTTGTGAAATTTCTCGGAAATCACGATACCGTGACTCCGTACATAAACAAAGAGCAAAGGCACACGCAGCACGTGTTCCACGGAGTTTCATCGTTCATCCGACTCATCCATATGCTGTTATCCAACAGTAACGACTATCAACGTCCTGCGATCCTATCAGATCATTTCGCAAGCAATCGTGCTTTTCTCGCTTACGTAAACTAACCAATGATGCTTTTATTTGGTTTATTTGATCGAGAAGGTCGCGATTCGGTAACCGGTACGGAGTAAAAGGAATCGAGTAACCTGTAAAATTACGAAATGAAAATGGATAATGATAATAGCGAGAAGTTCTTTCCAATGAAAAGTAAAGTAATTCATCGAGAACTGAAAAAGACACATGGAATAGTATTGAACAAGAATCCTTATTATTTCTATCGCCACAAAGAATTCGACGATTACGAACTTTCAAGAATTTCTAAGATTATCCCATAGATATGTTGGAATTTTTTCAAGATCTTCGTTGACATTGTGTAAGTGTTTATCGTAAATTGCTCAAATATCAAACGGAGTACATAGTTGTGATTCTGTTCAAGAATTTATTACACTGTGCAAATGTGCGCACGTGTTTCTGCGTTCAAAAGTCGTTCAATCTGCATAAACTAATACAATCTGGTAAGTGTTGCTGGGAAATATCATTGAGTTACAATGCCACCTTCCAGATATTATTGATACTATTAACGCATAAATGTCAGGTATGATAATGAAATTGTTTGCAAAATGACTCTATACGTACGCGATAACGGCAAAAGTGTACTCGTCTGTGGATCACGAAGCACGCGAAGTGGAAAGCCGGCTAGAATACAAACGAGCGATTGTTAGCGACAGTAACCTTGAGACCAAAAGGAAGAATTTCTGATGAGTCTGTGACAATGGGAGGCGTCTTTCTTGCCGACCTTTGCCTCGCGTGATCAACTTCCTGATCCGGTATTTTCAGCCAAAGAATCCGACTGTCAAGGACAGCGAGTTCCGAAAAACTTGTTTCGTCAATCACATTTATCTTTTTCAGCTGCAACATTATTTTTATCCGTAGACCTATCATTCAACCACTGGCTGCTCGAAACTATCGCTATTAGTACGAAAAGTTGACGAGGGAGAGAACTGTGACGAAGAATCAAAAATTAAAACAAGCTCGTAATATTTGATGCTCCGAATCTTTAAACCGCGGTTGTAGATCCTCTTTTGAATAGAAAAAAAGTGACAGTGTCCTAATAGAAGAGAGTTCTATGCATTACAATATTCAAGATGAGACTGTACTTTCTGAGATAAAAAATTAGACAGTTGAGGTAAATAAACGATTCAAAGGAAACAGGAAAGAAATTGAAACGTCTCTTTTCATCTTGCAAAGTTTCGGCGTTTGGATAGGCTGAGAGGTACCAAGAAATACAACGTCCTCGGAGTTCCGAGGTTCTTAAATTTAATTGTGCAGCGCTGCACTGGGTATGCGTTTCATTGTAACGGATGCGCCACGGCGTTCGTTCAATCGCTTAACTCGCTTCTAAACAATTTAAGTGAGTAATTGTAGCGGCGCGCGGTAGAGATGAATTAAAAACGCCTCGGTGCTCGACGGGGGCTGCATCCGTGTTGGGCAAAATGTAATCTGATCAACAATTAACCATTATATTTACCGTGCAATCAAACCGGTAAACAATGCTTCCGAATAATCAGCGATCAGTGGAAACGCGTACATCGGATATAACGTTAATTACTGGTCGCGAAATGATCGCATTGTTTGTCGTGCAATGGTACTCGATACTTTTCGTAGAAAATTCTCATTGATTCTGGGTGACGACAACTTTGTTTCATTTTTTTTTTTCTAACGTCAATACTGCATATACACGAAGAAATGACACAAAAACTAAACATGCAAAATAGCGCGTTAATAATTATGCAAAGATAACGTGGCTCGATTAAACAGCTGCTTTTAACCTAGACCCCTACTGATTCGCGATTGCCACGATCGACGTAGATAGGTCCTTTGAAGGATCTCTGACGTTCAACGTGGGAGATTAAACGTTGCAATGGAAAACGCGACGTGATAAAAAAGCCTGCGGCCGAACGGCGCAAATAAGAATCACGGGAGTTAGGGAATCGTCGCGATTCTTGGAAACGGGACAGAAAAAGGAAGCGAAAGGAAAATAACAGACGTACTCATGAAAGTAATTACGCAGCCAGCTCACGGAAGGGGGCCGCTTTGCCAGTCGTTGCGCGTACGATATTCCACGGCGAGAAGTAATTCCACAGTCGATTTCCTTGACGCCACGGTTCCGGGCACGACCTCTTCTTCTTCTTCGTGCAACGTAATTACGCGGACGACACACCTTGCCTAGATCCATCGAACGAGACAGCGTAACAGATAAAAAACGCTTGGCGTTTTTACACTCATAGCTGGCCCGCGGCTATTATTCCTGCCGATGTAACGTACACGTAATAATCGACTGAGGTATGACAGTGTCTGGGGGTATAGCGTGTCACGAAATTTGAAAAGTTATCGCTGCAGTGGAGCTACGATCTGAACCGCGCAATTTGAACATGGCGTGATTCTTGGGATATTCGCGAACGCCATGCCACTGAAGCAGCGCTCGGATTAGTTTGATTCAAATGAATATTCGTACACTACTATTATTTCTATGTAATCTTCTTTTTTTCTTTTGGCTATGCCGCAGC